CCCCCCCCCCCCCCCTCCTCCCCCCCGAAAAGCTAGGTAGAGGGCCTGCTTATAAGCACTTGGCCTGCTTATAGCAAGCCTTCTGCTCATAAGCAGATACAGTACTAAACAGCTACAAAGAAGACTAGCAGAGGGCTTACTTATAAACAGATACAATACTAAACGGCTAGAATACAATTTATTACTGTACTAGAGGACTCTGCTNNACACACACACATACGAAAACATTAAACAAGACCATAGTAATACATATCAAACAAGCGCCCAGCGCCGTACTTTCTGCTCTCGTTCGGCACTCCTTCTTTCCGTCCTTCCCTTCCTGTTTTCCTGCTTTCCTTCCCATCCTCGTTTCTGCAGATTCAGAATGTCGCTTTTCTTGTCCAAGGAATCTGGTTGAGTGTAATCCAGTCACCTTCCGTCATTGCGGCAAGTCTTTGTTTCTCTCCTCCTCTTCCGCCCACACAACACATGAACCCAAAGCCTGGAACTCACGAAACCAACAGACCCAGAGCTGCTTAGAAAAGAAACCTACACCTGCATCGCCTTCATCCGTCTTATGTTTACTGACTGAATTCTGCAACGGCCTTGACGGTTTAGGTTTAGGGTCTGAGGAGCAATTGTCTGTTTGTGCGTAGTCTATACTTCTGTCCTCGCCCGGCGACGATTCGCCCACCTGGCTACCTTGGCGCTGGCACGTGTTCGAGCAGACCTTTCGAAACTGGTTGGTGGTTCTTGCTACGTGGTCTACATGTCAGGTCAGGCCGCGGCGTTTTCAGTCCGGTTGGTGTGTGTGTGTGTGTGACATCAGCGAACAGACTGCGGATCCAGCGCCAAAAACTTCAGGTGCACCCAGAGCAAAGGAAAAACATTCGGACTGACTGCTTGAGAGCGACTGAAGTATGGATTTGCTGCGTGGCTCCGTTGCGGTGGGTGGTTGCCTCCCCCCACATCTCGGTCGTCTGATGCCACACCTGACATGCATCAGGCTCGACAGTGGAACTGCTAGAGCACACGGGTGTTGCAACAACCGACTCTGCTGGCCGTCTGGATTTCATCGACACGATCCGCACGACTCAAAAGCTGGGACTCCTTCTGCACCAAGTCGCAATCGAAGTAGTGGCCCGAGCCACCACGGCCTGCAGCTCGGCAGATCTCGGAAACGGATCAAAGCCACATCTTCTGGCTCGGAATCACGCACTCAGCCTCGACGAAGTGAGCTGTATGGCCATATCTGCTCTGGCTTTGTTCATACGGTTACCGTGGCTGCGGCGACAGTGAAAAACACAAATGCAGCAGATGCCATGGGGTGTCTGCTCAGCTCTCTGCGGCTCCTTGCACTGCTGAGCGGGCATGGCTTCGTTTTCTGGATTGGTTTCGGAGGCTTGGTAGAGTGTGCCGTCTTTGATCCTGATTTGCTTTGAATGTTCGACCAAATCAACTGGATGGAAGCAATCGGTTGCTGCGAATCCATTTGTTGGATTCAGCTCGCAGGAGGTCAGGCGTGCTTTTGGTTGCTGCTGCTGCTGCTGCTGCTGAAGTTCAAGCGGTGAAGGACTTTCACAGGGCAAGCGATCAGCGACAAAGCCATTCCAGTTTCGAACACAAAACTCTGAGCTTGTTTGAGCAGCCAAAATTTTCAGCAAAATGCTGCACCGATGAGCGGGCACCTCCGACCCAAGCCTCTCAAGACTCAAACTACGGTTGAAGCCGTTACCGGCTATTTGTTGCCTCCCCGCACAGCTTGGTCGTCGGATGTCACACCTCAGTGACACTTCCAGGCATCCCCTTTAACTTCGCATCCACTCCGTGCTGTTCTGCACCAATATACAAGAAGTGTTTCATGCTCGGGCAGGAAGATATCGATACTCCGCGTTCCACAGACTTAAGCACGAGCCACACGACGCCACAATGCGCTTTAGATTGTGCCAAGTAGCTATCAAAGTAGTGACCCAAGCCCCCACGGCCTGCGGCACTGACACCCGACATCTCTGCAGAGCGTAGAAAGCAGGAGTCGAACATCTCTGTAGCTGACTGGCTTTAGATTTCCCAGCCATATTTAGCCTCCTCACTTGCGAGTGATAGCTTTGCGCACCTCGTCCGCCACGCGCACTTTTGATGCTGCGCTTGGAATTCCATCCGCTTGTGCGGAAGGAGTGGTGCTGAGCACCGGGGACCTGCCAGGCAGTCCAATCACAAAGTGCAGTCGGGGATGGGATTCTCTTCTGATTCTGCGCATGTTGTAAGAAGGGGTGGAGCCCTCGTTGCGAGCCTCGTCTGCAGGGTTCCCAACGGACTCCGCCTGCACACGGTGAGGACCAAGCACCCTTCAACCCCAGGCAGGATCTCGTTGGTTTGGGAAGGCAGCTGCCGTTTGTCACAACCTGATTGCCGACAGCTTCTTTGTGACTGCAAGCTGATGCAAGCTGCACAGCACCCGCAACCAAGGATGGAACTGCACCTCTGGGACCTCCTCAGCATCCACCAGCTCAATTGCAGGATCAGCCCGCACCTGCCGAGTTGGGAGGAGCACGCACATTCCCTGTGTCCCCATCCAAGGTCGAGACCTCTGCGGCCACAGAAGCAAAGCGCTTTAACTCCAGTGGTCTCCTCGGACCAGGGTCTTTCGTACAGCTCTTTCTTTGGCAGCTTCTTGCGGGAAGATATCAGAGCATATGTTCAGAAAGGTCACAAGTTCAGGTGCCGTGCAAGTTCTTCGCAAAGGTCTTCGTCTTCAAGGACTTCACGAACCTCCCAGTCGTCTTGTTGTGAGGCTGCGGCTATGATAACCACCTACCCAGTCGCCTCCCAGCACCAACCGCACGTGCACCACCCCCACAACCTGCGCACATAACGCCCTCCAATGTTGACCTCTTCGGGAAAAACTTCGACGGGCCGCTTGCAAAATAGCAACATGGCTCAAGGGCAACATCTTCGACCCGTCAAGCTCTTGGAGAAAACATTTCCAAACACCTACATTCGTTCGTCTCGCCCCTTTTCTCACATGATCGCACAAGGAATCCTTGCATGATCACGTGTAAAGCTGTCAGCCTCGATGGCACCGCAGCCGCTGCAAAATGCACCCGCCTGCGGGCAATAAGTTGGAGCGCATCAGCTGGCATGCCAGACACAACCATGACTCTTTGCGGTCTGTTTTCTGCAGTTGCAGCTACAAGCATCGCGCTCTGTGGACTCATAAACGATTCGTCTCCCAGCCGGCCTGTGCCCTGTACTCGCCAAGCCGTGCAAGCTCAAGGAAAGCTGCGAGGCCCGGCACCGTGCCAGCCATGGCATGTCATGACAATGCTGTGATTGGGGTTTCATGTTGCGGTTGCAGAAGCTCAAGCACCGGCGTCCACGGCAAGCTACAAGCCACTGCTTTGCATCAGCCCATGCTGGAACACGTGTGCTTGCTGCTCCCAACACGCTTGGGACTCCGTCCGACCCGGCAGCATGCAGATCGAGGTCCCAGTAAAACCTGGTCCTCTGCCACTTCGCAACCCAACCCTGCCCTTGCAAACGGCACATGCCTGTCTGTAGAGCTTTGCATTGGGCTGCCTTGCGCGTAGCAAGTGCCAGGCCAACCGCCTCGTCAAAGAAGGACAACAAGGCCATGCAACGCGACGTGGAAACAAACCGCGGCAACCATCGTTTATTCCCCATTGACCTATTGTGCCCCTTGCTTGTTCATGCAGGCATTGCAGCGCTGCTCGGACACTGCTGGCTGAGTGAAAGACTGTGCAACGTGGAAGATCAATTCGGAACCAAGCTGCACGGCAACAATTCAAGAAGAAACGAAACAAACGATGTGCGAAGCAAGGCAGCGCTTAGTCAGATAAACAAAATCACCCCATAAGGTGTGTTTTGCGCTTCCGCATATGCAGGAACATGGACATGTACAAAAGCCAATGCGGAATCAGGCAGGCATGGCAGGCAAACTCAGCCTCGCGTCTGCACCACAGCTTCGCAACAGTGCCTCGGCAAGACTTCGTGGGTTGCTCTGATCTGTGGACTCGCCAGTGATCTGCGCCCGTCCGTCCCAGGCCGGCAGGCCGGCCCCTTCACGTAAACTGTGGGAAGCAAGCCGTGATCTCTCTGATGACAACTTGTGACTCTCGCGGCCGATGCGAGCAACTGCTGCGCAGAGGCACGGCGCTGCAGCTCCGAGGTGCGCACGGCTGCTGCAGCGGCTAAGAGCAGGAGCATCAGCAGGAACTTGGCTAGTCGCGAGGCATGCTGCAGTAACTTTCCGCTGGCATCCTCGTGGAAAGCCAAGGTTGGGACGCTGTGCCGCTCGTACACCTTCGTAGCCCAGCAAGCATGAGGGCACCAGCACATACAAGAACCATATCAGGCATGCATCGAAGTTCACCCGCACAAATGATGCGAATGCCTCGCTCAGTAACGACCCTCGCGAGCCTCCAGGAGCAAGGCGGCAAGCAAGGCCTGTGTCGACACGTCGTGGTTCAGTCGCATGCACGGGGAGTCTGCGTGCTACCAAAGCAATACTCTTCAATCTGTGGATCGAGATCTCGGAAAAAGACATCCATGCGAATAAAATTGAAACTCAGGGCATTGTAGCGAAGTCGGCTCCAACGGTTTATCTCCGGAATCTCAATCCGACTGCTTCACGAGCTCGACATTGCGGAAGACATGAAGCTAAGTGGCGGCATGTGGTGTCTCAAAAACCCTATCGGGGATCTGACTACTCAACAGCATTTGGAGACTCGGGGCTGAGGTTTGCAAAAGAGGCACAGGGGATTCTGGAATCTATCCTGAATCTAGAACACGATGCTTGGATTTGCAGGGCTTCGATTGAGAGTAGAAAGTGAGGAGCTAGTCAGGTCTCGGAAGGCCGACCCGAGGAAACTTCTTTGCCTCGTCGGCATAAAACTAACACACGTGCGTCTCAGAGGCCCTTTCCTGCTTCGCCCACCATCGGCTGCATGGCACAACCTGGCTCCAGACTGGGCACAGCTGTCATGCTGTTGAAAGTCTCGCTCCGCGGCATCCGACCGCCAGCACTTCCGGCCTTTCGCTCTGGAGCGTGGGACTGGGCCAGCCCCACACGACCTCTCGGGAAATATGCACGGAAATCGCCTACCGAAGGAGCTCGCAGCCGACAGCATAATGTTGAAGCTTGAGCTCGCTGCTCTCGCGGCAGGAACGGCCGGCCCAGCTGTGGCCCGAAACTCTCTGAGATAGGCACGACATCCACATCTCCCGCACGACAGCCCGCACAGATGCGAGATGTTGCAAGCTGCTTGGCCAGCTGTTTTCAGATTCTTGTCTTAGCACGAGGTGGGTCTTAACGACCATGTATGTGAAGCCAAGATGGTTTTCTGAAAGATGCGCGTCTTGGGATCTTTTTTGGGTAGACGTGCTTAAGAGCGAGCGGAAGGCGGGGCGACAAAAGTCCAAGTCCGATGCCGAATTGGACTGCACGGCTGAAGCATCCAACAAGCACTGGTCCAGCGGATTTCCGAGCATCAGCTTACGAGAGCTGGCAAGCATGTTTTTCACACTTGAGCCTGCTTAAGCTTCACAAAGAGTCGCACCACCACCTCGGCAAGGCCGCAAGGCTCGCTTCCTTCACCGCAAGCGAAGCTATGTGTTTGGCTCCCCGCTTCTAGCTCTCGCAAGGTTGCTTGCGAAAGCTTCGGCTCCTTGCAATCAAACCCCGAGAGCAGTGTGTAGACAGACTCTGGTGCATGGACTTCGCCGGATATAGCTCCTGAGCAAATTTGGTCAGCATGCCAGGTGCTGCTTCCTGAAATGCGTCGAGCCAGTCTGGGTATTGCTTGACCAACCTGTGCTAGCACCTAGGGTTATGTCCGACTCAATCATGCTACATGTAATCCTAGAGGACCTCCAAAACCACAATTTCGGAGAAAAAGTTGAAAAATGCAGGAACTCCAGATTTGCAAGGAATACGAAAAAAAAGGGAAATAGGAAAAATAAGAGAAACATAAGCATAAAGTAGAAAAGATAGGAGAAACTAGTAATAAAATAAAAAATACGAATAAAATAAGGATGAAATAAGCAAAACATAGAAATAAATTAGGGAAACCATAGGAAATGTAGGGAAAACATAAGGAAAAGCATTAAAAACGCAGGCCCACAGGGTAGAAAGGAGCGCGAGAAGAGCGGGGCGGGTTCCTATTTCTCCTATGTTCTTCTACTTTTATTTCTGTTTTCGAAAACCCAGGATTCCTACGTTTTTTCTATGTTCATCCTATTTCGGGCCGATCTGACTAGAGTTAGCACAAGAGTCGGACATAAACTTAGGGAACGTGTCAATAATCTTGATTTTTTTCTGGGATAAACAAGCCATCATCGGCCTTCAGATGCAGCAGCAGCGGCGACCTTGCGCAAGACGTGGCGCAATCGCAGGCTTGCCATGACATGCACGTGCAGCACCGAAACCCCTTTCGGAGTGAGAATGAAGGGTCGAGGCGGTTCTGCCCCGCTATGCCCCGCTTAGTCCTCTGCTGCGCACCGCCTTGCAGGGCTTGGGATGCCTCACCAACACGGGCATCGAAGCAGCAATGTTAACAAACACGGCACCCTGCGTATGCCAGTGCCTCCGAAGGCGACAGCGGGTCTAGAGCCCCACTGCAGGCGGCCAGAAGCAGAGCCGTCATTTCCTTCTTGCTGGCATGATCTGGCATGCTGTAACGAGAATTTATGCTGCAGTTCTCTGCCTCAGGCAGCAAGGGTGCGCCGGGCGGCTGCTGCAGCGCAGAAGCCACAGACTCGCAAACAGACTCGCCGCGGAAGAGAGCTTCATCTTACCGGCACCAAGGGTTCCGGGCCTCGCCTGCAACTGCCTGGACTGATGGCTGTCCACTTCCGCCGTCGTGGGTCGAAAGTGTGCCTGGGTTCCCAACATCGGAAAGCAGAAGGGACGTGGGCTTTCGAGAGCCTCCTGTTCCAAGGCCAGCAAGGTGCGGAGGTGCGCAGCGACCGCCTCATTGGGGGGCGAGAAAAACGCAAGGCGTGGGGCGTAGCAGGGGGGGAGTGCAAGTGGGTCCTCCCTCCGAGGCGTCGTCTTGGAGCGCCGGTGGCCGCACATCGCGAGCCTTGGCCTCCGCCTTGCCCTCGGAGCTCGGAGACTCGATCGCAGAGGCCGCCGAGAGCCTTCGAGGCGCCGACGTCGGAGCCGAGGCCGAAGCGGGAGAAGCTGGCGCCTACGTGGAAAAGTCCGCTGGGCTCACCTCGCCCACCTTCTCCTTCTTTCCCTTCTTCCCTTCTTCCTACTCTCCCGCCTGGCACCATTGCCGGGAACAAGCCGGCAGCAGCCATGGACTTGTCGAGCACGGCCTGCACTCTGGGTTCGTGAAGTTCGAAAGTTATGCCAATCTAAGCTGAGGGAGTCCTGACCATCAGAGAGACTCTGCATCTCGCGCGCTGACTTCACCTAAGTTTCGCGGCCATCCGAGCATGTCGAGAGCCAACAGCAGCGACTAGCTAATAAGTTAATCGACGCACTTTCTCAACGTGAGGCTCCTGCACCCTTTGCCACGTCACCAGGGCGCGTGATACCCAGCGCCTCGGCAACATGACGTTGGTTGCGGTTGCTGCGTTACAGTGACAGGAAGGTGCAAAATTTCACTATACCTGCTTACCTGCTTAGTCAATTGCGAAGCAGGTCGTGCCTGCTCACCATGAGCATAGGCAAAGCATGGCAAAGCCCTCCAGACGAATTCAACAGCCTTTACATGCACGCCCTACCACGGGAAGTCCTTCATGCACCTGTAAAGCTGAAATCGGGGGGAAGGCCGGCATTGGGAAAATTGCATTCTGTTGCTGTCCTCCGAGGCTCTAAGGTGTGGGCGGACAAGGAGCTCTCAGTCAGCTGCACGCCGCGGTCCTTGAGCAGACAAGGAGGAGCAGTCGACGTGTGGACCAGAAACATCCGCGACGAGCCTGCAACCGCTGTAGACGCTCCAATTCACTCTGCCTGCAGCTGCTGATTGCATCAAGTCCCTACAGCACCACCCGGACAAAGACAAACACAAGCTAAGATGCAAGCAAAGCACCCCCCCCCCGCGCCAGTGAACAGATCACACAAACTTGTCGAGCCCTTCCCCCTGCCCAAAGCACCCTCTTTGTCTCCCGCTCTTTGGTCTCTCGGCCTCCGACCTCGGAAGTCGGCGAGGCTGAAGGTCCTTGGAGGAAGCCGCGAAGCACAGGAAGCCAGGAAGCGGCTGCGCACCCAAGGCAGTGACAGCTCGTTGGCTTCCGCGTTCGGAGCCTGTCAGCCAAAGGTCCAGGTCCCTGCTGGAGAATGTACAGCGCTGAAGCCTACACATTCTCCTTCTGCAGTGGAACAGCTGCTGTCTTCGCACATGTCACATGTCGAGGGTGATGCCTGGCGCTGCCCTGGAATGCCAAGAGCTGCCATGGCCTGCCCGATGCTTTCGCAACGTCTACAGCCCTCAAAACAGAATCGAATGCCGTGCTTGCGTTTAAGCTCGAGGCAGTTGCTCGCCTTATACAGGCCTTCTGCTCCAAAATCAGACAGCACTTCGCACTCAGCTAGAGCATAAAAGCAAGCACAAATTCTCTACCTGGCTAACCTGCAATAGACTTTACTAAAATCCCAAACTTGGGCGACATTGGGCAACACAGCAGACCGGCAGTTCGCCGATGATGTAAGATCTGAAAAAACAAAAAAAGAACCTCCTGGAGCACTGGGATGCGTTTTTTCGTGTTCTTGACTTGCCATTGCTGACAAGGGCCTGGCCTCAGTTTCTAAGAGAGCCAACCTTGGGGCAGCTCTCCAGTCAGAATACGATCCGCTTCGTCAACTGGTAACATAACGTGCTGTCCGAGACTGCACAAATTTTCAGGCCCCAGCATTGTCAGTGCTCCTCCACTTTGGAGGCTTGCCGCCCGTTCCAGCAAGGCCTTGCAGACACAACACCAAGAATGCTCATGGCATGTCCGTGCCACGAAAGCCTCAGCAAACACAGCCCAGGATCTAAGCCGGCCACAGCAAGAGCAGCACGCCTCTGTGCCGCCAGGGCCTCTGCATCACCGAGGTCGCCGGCCGCCTCAGAACTCAAGCTGTTTCCGAGCTTCTCATCAGTCCCCCGAAGGCCTCAGCAAGCTCCATAGCCAATTCCCAAGCATCCAAGAGGGGAGCGACCTCACGAGCCGTGGTGAGCTGTGACGAGTCCTGGGCCTTATCCCCGTTGCTTGAGGTGCATGTTGCATACCCGAAGCACTTCCGTCCAAGCATGGGAGAGGCTCGGACAAAAAGAAAGAAGCCATGTCAAACCTTTCAACCCCCGTGGGGAGGCGGCAGTGTCGAGAATCAAGAGTGCGTGCTTGCCTCCGTCCCGGACTTCCTGCACGGGCTGTTTCCCCTGTTGGAAACTCAGCGACCTGTGAACTCTTTATCGTGCGTTCCCAGTACCGTGGGTCCTGATGACCTACACAATCATAAGCACTTTTTATCCCAACACAAAAAAAGAGCCGCCCAGCCTCGGCCACAGCAACGGCTTCGAAGAGAGCGGGGAGGTAGGCAGCAGACTGCCGGCACAGGACAGAATCCAAACATGGTCTGCGCACCCGTTCTTTTCCTTCTAATCAGTGATCAGGCATAGTCCTTCGAGAACAGTAGCAGATAGGCATCGCCGTCTTCATAGTCGTAGTTGTCGTCGTCGTGGTAGGAGGAGGAGCTGTAGTCGTAGTAGTAGTAGTAGTAGTAGTAGTAATAGTAGTCGTAGTCATAATAGTAGTAGTAGTAGTAGTAGTAGTAGTAGTAGTAGTAGTAGTACCCTAAACCCTAAACCCTAAACCCAAAACCCTAAACCCTAAGCCCGGCTTCAACCCTAAACCCAC